CATCTTATTACCAAATGCAGGTTGACTATTCAGGAGTGTTGCTGAGGGTAAAACATGGTTTCGGGAGGGGCCAGTCTGTAGTGGAAGGACCAGGTGTTAGAGACCTGGGTTCTAGGACTCCCTCTTCTGCTCATTGCTATGGCCCCAGGATCATTTAACCCCAATGAGCCTCTGCTTTTTCAAATATCAAAATATAAAAACACTTGTCTATAGAACAGGGTTATTGTGGAATCACATAAGACAAGAAGTATAAAAGCACTTTGGAAATTATGAAGTGTTATACACATACAAGTATTAAAATAATTTTCATTTTGACTTTAAGGAAACAGCACTATAAAATTGTCTCCTGTGGTTACATGTTTTTCATTATAGTAGTTTATTTTCAGTTCTTCAGAATTTGCTCAGAAAAAAAATTTAATCGAATATATTTTATTGTGTCTTTTCATACAAAGCACTCAGCAAAGTGCAGCCTGGAATACAAAAGTGAATATGATGCCTACAGTCCTGCCATTAAATAAATCACCCTCTCTTGGTATTGAACTGCAGATATCAGTTGTACACATCTGTGACATGAGATGTGGTTCTCTGGTTGTACCCAAAGAAAGAAATAACAGAACTGGAGGAGGTGTCCGTAGAAGGTGTTAAAATCATCAAGGGTGAAGAAAGATTTTGAGGTCAGACTGAAAGTACGTGTCGTTTCAATATGAAAAGACAAAGGAGAAATGGAATAAAAACTAATTTTCCTAGCTAGTTACAGAAACTTTAAATTAGGGGTACTTTTCAGAGCTTGACATAGGCAACTTGAGTACAGCTGTGGAAATGCTTCCTTTCATGATTGAAAACCTACAGAATTAATCACATTTGGGTACAAGAAAAGACTATAAATCAGTTCAGAAAAGGTGACAGGTTCAAGGAAACTAAATAGACCTGTTAACCTGGTGGGTCTTGCCTACTAGAGACATAGGCTAATAGATGTCTTTGAGCTTCTCGGCAAAGCATCCACTGGGTCTGTCAGAGCAGATCAGACCCCAAGTGGGGGTGTTGAATTCCTGCTCATCCCCCTCTTCTCTCAGGCTGTCCCAGAGACTCCCTCTGCAGACTGTTTCTGTGCCACTTTATTTTCACCTCTTCTGTGCCATTTGCTGCACAGTATAGTATGCCCGCTTCACATACCAGCCTGAGAGCCCCTTCCTCAAGCCCAGGGCTCATTCCTGTTTTCCCTGAAGCCTCTGCCTCGCACCTGGCAAAAAGCAGGAACGTTTGATAAAGGTTTTGGTTATTGTCTGACCCAATAGGGTTCAAGTTCTTTTCTAACCTCCATATCTGTACATAAACCACACGTCGCTTCTGGTTGAAGGCTCCCCCTTTACTTCCTAGTCCGGCCAGTTAGTGTAGTAGGTCAGGAAGAGCATAGAGTTCAGATCCAAACCCCCTGGAATTGAGTCCTGCCTTTACCACTTCTAGTCGTGACCTTCCTTGACCTCTCTGAACCTCAATTCCATATCCATATCTGTTTCTCTTACTGTGTGGTCCTGAGGACGTACGTGCCTGGCACATAACAAACACTCAAGACTTGGGAGCTGACTATTACTGTTTCTTTAGTACTTAATTAATTCACTGCATACTTGTAGGTGTTATAAAAGGAATCAAATATGGACCTACCTTAAAGTCCTCACAGCACAGAAACAGAGTAAACACGTGCACGCATAGGGTAACTCATGGAGAGTGCTGGCGGGGCAGGAATTGCACGGAGCTTCGGGAGTTCACAGACCAACAGATGATATGTCTCTTGTCTGGTACAACCACACTTGCTTCCCAGCGGTTAGATTTGCCACCTTAGTATTCGCTAGAAACAAGGTTGTTTTATTTTAATCTTATAGTATTAATAAACTGCTGTCTAGATTATATATCACATAAGCAATGCTGGATAGAGACAGTAGAGATGAAGTAGGATTCCACTAAGATAACTGAGTGAAAATGATAATTAGTTTTCTGTGCTATCTGTCGAATTTTTTTAATATAGAAAAAAAACCACATCTCATTAGTATTTTTGTTATTGCAGTTTCTTTTGGGGAGGGTAGGTAATTAGGTTTATTTATTGATTTATTTTTTAATGGAGATACTGGAGATTGAATCCAGGACCTCGTTCGTGCTAAGCATGTGCTCTACCACTGAGCTACACCCTCTCCCTGTATTGCAGTTTCTTAAATCCATAAGTTTAGAACTAGATTTAGTAACTTTATAAATCTGGCATCATTTAATTCTACTGTTGGTAATGTTGCTGGGGTTAGGTGTTAAGTGGGATATTTGGGACTAATTTCTTCACATCATCTCTTGCTTTCCAAGGCTTTCAATAAGGGATGATGAGAGAGCTGGCTTTAAACTGATTTCCAGATTTTGTTCCTACTCAGAACAAAAAGTCCTGAGGAGAGCAGATAGAAGGAAGTGGATTAGGTTAATACCTTTTCAAGAACAGCAGGGGAAATGAGGACTGGTTTCTGCCTTGTACCTTTTTAATCACTTAATATCCACTTAGTGTTTCCAGTGAAAGAATGCCAGTAGCCTGGTAGGTGTAATTACTCACAATTTAAAAGTATCCACAGTCCCGTCAACAGATAAATGATCAAACTGTGCTGCATTCATGTCCTGCAATACTACTCAAGAATAAAAAGGATTAAACTATTGATACATGCAACAACCTGGATGAATCTCCAGAGAATTGTGCTGAGTCAAAAAAGCCAGCCTCCAAAGGTTACATACTGTATTGTTTCATTTATAGAGCATCCTTGAAATAACAAAATTATGGAAATGGAGAACAGATTATAGTTGCCAGTGGTTAGGAGGAGGAAGGGTAGGAGTGAAACAATTGTAGCTATAAAAGGACAACGTGAAGGATCCTTGGGGTGATGGAACTATTCTGTAGCTTCTCTGTATCAATGTCAGTGTCCCATCTGTGATATATGACAGTTCTACAAGATGTTACCCTTGGGGGAAACTGGGTGAAGGGTACATGAGATCTTCCTGTGTTATTTCTTAAAACTGCATGTGAATCTATAATTATCTCAAAATAAAAAGTCAAATTTTAAAAAAATTAGCTACATAATTCCCATGTGGATAACCACTTGATTTGTGGCTTAAGCCCCAAATTTTTGACATAAATAATACTGCAAAAAAATCAGTTGCTTATGTAGCAACATTTTGTTTCCATTGTAGAAGCCTTGGAACATATGGACAAAAACAGAATGAAGTATAATTAGGAAAATAAACTTAACTACTATTACCCTTTTTATATATTTCATTCTTTGGGGTTTTTTTCTGAATTTGTATATATATATATTTTTTCAGTTATGATTGGGAATGTACAATTTATGTGGTTTTGTATTCTACTTTCTCAAATTTTGTATCATGCAACTTTCTCTGTCTTTAGAATTCTTCAAAAACAAATTTCATCTGGCTATATATTCGATAATATGGATGCTCTATAATGTATGTAATCATTCTCTAATAATTAAATCTTTTTTCCATTTTATATGATAAATATCCTTATACATAAATCTTTTTCTGCATTACTTATTTTTTCCTTAATGTAGGTTTTTGTAAATGGAACTGAATCATGAGCATTTTTAAAACTTTTGATACATATATGTTACCAGATTGCTTTCTGTAAAAGTGGTACTAATTTACATTCTTACCAATAAGTGCATGTGAATGGATGAGATTCAAGACCAGAAGTAACTGGGAACCCTATAGAGTTCCACAGCAGAAAGATTCAAGATTTTTATCTTCATATAAAGCAGGGTTTCTCCACCTCAGCACTATTGACATTTTGGGCTACATAATTCTCTCTTGTTGAGGGGCTGTCTTCGGCATTGTAGGATGTTTAATGGGGTCCCAGGCTTCCACCCACTAGATGATAGTAGCACAATCCATCCCCCTACTCCAGCCACCACCAGAGTTGTGACAACCAAAAATGTCTCTAGACATTGCCAAATGTCCCTGGGGGGAGAGCAGGGTGCCAAATTGCTGCTGGTTGAAAACTACAGATCCAGGACTTAGATATGCAATGATTAGGCACTTATTGTTAGAATATCTCTAACACTGTGTACACTATGTTCTGAAGCCTAGCCTCTCAGGGTTCTCTTTTTTGTCTGGCGTATGTATGTGCATATTGCCTGCTGAGTAAAATAGGCTAGTCATTTTTTTAAGGCTAAGTGACTTTGTTACTACTCGGTATGTATCCTTCCCTGCTGATACCTCTCTGGGTTCCTGATTATTAGAGGAAATCTAAAGAAAATGACCATGCTACCATTTACTTTGCCCCACAAAAATGGTTTCCCCTAATACCTAATATGGTATTTGGAAGTGTCAGTCAGTATACTTACCCTTTCTCTCTGTCTTCTGAATAAAAAGGGACCAATAGACTGAGAACTACTTGGTTCCCTTGACTTTGTATGTAAAGGAAGGAGACAGAATGGATTGGGATTTTTGCTAACTTAAGTTTAAGCCTGAAAAATCCTAAGAAGCCTGTTTTACACAGCTGGAGCTCCCAGTTGAAGGTTTGTCCCTCAGATCTACAGCTGGCTTTATCTTCCGTTCCTGATGGAATGCACCTGTGTTATTTCTGTAATATTTCAAAACGTCATGGGGTCATGCAACCCACACTCTCTTTCCGATGTATAATCTGCACCCAGATCTTCTAGTAGCTCAACTATAGTTGATGAATTTCCTTAATTCAAGTAAGACAGTTTACTTTAAAGTGGATTTGACCTTGAAATTCAGTTTACTGTGAAAACAGGAGCACACAAATACATTGTTCAGAACATAAACCCACTGCAGATACTCTATCCTTAAGTGATATGACACTCATTTAAGTCTATTTTTCAGTAAAGACATCAACCTTTTCTGTTATGTTCTGTTAGTTAGCCATAGTTCTGAAATGTAAGGCTAGTTTGACACTGACTTTCTCTACCGGCTGTTTCTTTTCTGTTTGTTCTCCTCAGGAGCAGTCTCACAGGTGCTGGATAGCCTGGAAGAAATTCACGCACTTACAGACTGCAGTGAAAAGGACTTAGATTTTCTACACAGTGTTTTCCAGGATCAGCATCTTCACACGCTACTAGATGTAAGTGTTTCTTTTTATTAAGTTTTTTGGTAAACTGAGTATTTATCATAACTTTTTACTTTACATGAATATCCAAATGTCCATCATAGCAGTCCTTTTTCTGTTGTCTTAAGTCTGTGAGAAATGTGGGAAATCACCTGTCACTCATAACTGAAATAGAATATTCTACAGTACAAATGCAATATAGCCTAGCAAGTCACAGTGGAAAAAATTATATATTTTATATAAGAATCCATTGATCTCAGCTGTGATTACTACTCTTTATTGCTTTTAAACATTGTTTTAAGGGGAAGGGTAAAATTCAGT